CGCGGAAGATCCTCCATGCTGCCGACTCGGGGCTCGGGCTCCAGGTCCCGGCCTTCCATGCTCTGCTGGCTCCGAGCTCTGCTGGTCACCGCAGAGGATCATATGAGCTGCTGACTCAAAGAAGGCCGTTGCCCGGACCCCGGTCTCACTTGTTCATAAATATCAAGCCCCGATCCCAGCAGACGGGCATACTGGGACTGGTCTGGGACGGGTCTGGGATGCAGGGTGGAAACAAATTTTAAAAACATTTTATGCATTTAAAAAAAAATACACGACGGTTAAATAATTAAATAAATAAATGGTGCCGGCTTCATCATCAGAGTCAGAGAGTCAGAGAGATTTATTTGTCATTCGCATCTCATGTGGTGGAACAAAATTATGTACACAGGGTCCCAGTTACATCCAACAATAAAAATGTAAAAGAAAAACCAGTCATGACATCATGAAACATCATACCATACCATACCAATTTATTTATAAAGCACTTTAAACAGTGACAAAGCACACCAAAGTGCTGTACAGGGACAAACAGAACAAGCACATAGCAACAGATTACATAACAGGCCACCAAAAAGTAGAAACCAACAAAAACAATAATGGATAACAACAACAACTGCAACATGACCAACACAGTGTGATGCACACAGACTCAGCACAGATCACACAGTGCAGAAAGCCAGGGAATAAAAGTGTGTTTTTAAGCGAGATTTAAAAACTGTGAGGGAGGGGGCCTGTCTAACGAACAGAGGTAACTCATTCCAAAGTCTTGGTCCTGCTACAGAGAAGGCCCTGTCACCTCTGCGCTTGAGACGGGTTCCTGGGACTGTGAGGAGCAACTGGTCTGCTGATCTGAGAGAACGTGGTGGGACATACGGCTGGAGCAGATCAGTAAGATAGGAGGGGGCAGAGCTGTTTAGTGATTTATAGACATACAAGAGTATTTTGAATTTGATTCGAAGGTGAATCCCAATTATTTTTTTAATTATCGAGGCAGTCCTTCACAACCTTCGTACCATTGCGACTTTGAAGGACGTCTATTTGTTTTGCTGAAAGTTTTTTTTTAATCAAAATTAGCATTACACCAAAAAGTGAAACCACATAATGTTGTTCACGTTGTCCAACATTAAAAATGCTTTTTTAAAAATCTATTGGTTAATGTAATTATGAATTGTAACTAGAGAAACATTTTTTCCTGTGAAAATGCACTGCGTGTACCAGTGGTGGGCACAGTTTTGCCAATCCTCTTAACATCTAATGGCAAACAATTTTTTTTAGTTTAGCGGATTAGCTTTTTAGCATATTTTGGAAACCGTTAGTGGAAATAGCTTCCCCTAAATTAGGTTTCCTCACTTTTAAGTTTGCTAATGAAATTCACAAGCTTGTTTCTGTCTGTTGTGGGCGTTTCTCAAAGAGTCCATTTGATACGTTATTGGATTATTACATGTACATGTGGCAAGACGTGATTGGCCGATACAGCTTCAACTAGAAGAAGATGAAGACTGTGACGCAGGCTGAGTGACAGTCATCCTTCCAGTTTAGCGTTAGTTTCACTATATTTTAAACCTGTTTACAGCAAACACTGTTAGTTCACTGTTTGCTAAGCTTATTTTACGGAAGAAAAAATGTATCAAGTTTGGATGCTTTAGTAGCGTTCACCAAATAATTTTTAAACCGTACCATAACCAGTGACTTGTGACTTGAGTATGGTAGTTTTAGGCTTTTAGCAACAAAAAAAAGTCTTTATATTTTTCCTTTCCTTTCCTTTTTCTTTTAGTTTTAAATTGTCTTATTTTATAATGTAGATCTCTGGTGAATTCAAAAAATGTTCAATACAAAAACAACTAGACTTTATTTTATAACAGAAGACGTTTTTTCGCTCCTCATCCGAGGAGCTTTCTCATGAGAAAGCTCCTCCTCCTGTTACAAATAAAGTCCAGTTGTTTTTGTATTGAACATTTTTTGAATTTATCATGTCCTGGATGTCTGAGGGTGCATTCACACCAGCCCTGTTTAGTCCGCTTTAATCGAACTCTGGCTCGTTTTCCTAGAAAGTCCGGTTCATTCGGGGAGGTGTGAACTCGCCATCGAACTCTGTCACGGAACAAAAAGGCGAACTCTGGCCCGGGCTAAAACCTAGGTCTTGGTCTGGTAGAAGCGAACTCCAGCGCAGTTCCAGTACAGTGTGAATATAGACAGACCGGGCCCCGCACCACAAGCAAGAAGTGGAGTACAACGCAGGGCAAACAAACACGTGTTTCTCTTACCTCATATGGAGCCGTCAGCTGCCTTGCGTGAAAAACAATATTCTCCATGGTCTTCTGCCTCATCTTCCACTCATGCTGAGTCCATTGTTGAAAAATGACAAAATATAACTCCTAAAACTGCTAAAACTTGATGCCACTCCATTGTTTTTATTTCCAGAAGAAGAAGAAGTGTCTTCAGAGGTTTTTGTGTCGTTTCTTTCAGTAGTTCTTGGTGCAGGTTGGTTCAACAGGTTGACTCGACTGCACAGTGCAGTGTGAATGCAAACGCACCAGCTCAAATTTAAACAAAATGTCATGAATATTGGTCCCCAACCGAACCGAGTCTACCGGACTATCAGGTGTGAAAACGACCTGAGAATCTTCACCAGCGTATCTCTGGTGAAGTTGCAAAGTTAGCATCTGGTCACACAGTCACTCAGAGGCCCAACACCAATGAATGCTTATTTTAATTTGTCCGTCAGGGTGTTATTATGTTCTCTGTTGGCCTGAAGGTTGTTTTGGGACCTGTTGTGAGGATTACAATGAAGACGAGTTGTTTTCTTTGAATGCCTGGATCGGACAGTGCCAAAAGCGGCAATCTTCCCAGGAAGATTTGTGACAAAAACTCAATCTCTTCACTGTTTAATTTACGAATGCATCTTTGTATTAGCTTGTACAAAAACCATAATCATTGTTTACAAAACATTTCATCCTAAACAATCTCATAAGCATTGTATTGATTTTATTAGCTCTGATTTGTCATGAGTCTGAATTTTAAAGAAATGTAATGACTACGATTACTGCCAAAAAGAAAAACAAGCATATGAATCTTAAACACCAAGTTTGTTTTCTCAGTCATCCAGGTATATAACAACAAAAAAGGTTGAATCATGTCATCTGGACTTCGTTTTTTTGTTAAAAAGAAACGTTTCGCCCCTCATCCAAGAGGCTTCGTCAGTCTGAGGCCTAGCCATCTGGTATTACCCAGAAGCCACCCTGACTCTTGTGTTTCAAGCCTGCCTCAGATACCCCTGAAGTCTGGCCTTTTCACTAATGGTTTCAAAAACACCAAGTTTGTTTTCTCAGTCATCCAGGTATATAACAACAAAAAAGGTTGAATCATGTCATCTGGACTTCGTTTTTTTGTTTTGTTTTTTAACAAAAAAACGAAGTCCAGATGACATGATTCAACCTTTTTTGTTGTTCATATGAATCTTAGTTGCATACTTGACGGGTTTAGATTAAACCCATTTGTCACGTTCTGTTATGAGCAATCTTTAACCAGTCACAGCATCAAGTCACAGCAGATGTTAGATGTTGGTAAGTCAACTTGTTGACTGTGAGTAAACCGATAATTTCTATGTAGTTGCAAGTACACTGATCTTCCCTAGTGTTGGCATTTCAGTGGCAAGGAATAGTTGAAGTCAAGAAAAAAAAAACAATTGAATGGTTATTTGCTGTAACTTTTTGTTTGGCACACAAAACAATTATAAACTATACAATAATTGTGTTTTAGAAAAGTCTGCCGATGGACTGGCTAGCACTACAAGATTTTAAGCCAAGTATTTTAGTACTTTTTGGGGCTAAATCACCAAGTCACAATCAAATTAATCATTTGTCATGTGAGACTATTGGAGATCAACCCATATGAGTTTTTTGATGGCTAATAGACTTTTTTTTTAAACTATCTAAAATCAGATTTGTTTTAAGATATCTATTACCATTTGTTAATTTAAGACAGTCATGCCTAATAGAATAGGTATTTTTTTTTGTATTTACTTATTTTTGTTAGGCTGCTTTCAAGCTCAGCGCCAAAATCGCAATGTAACTATACTTTTCCCCCATTACATTCACTCTTTTCTGTCTTTTGTTATTCGTTTCATTTGAAATCTTGAGTTGCATTAAAAAAGTACATTTTATCCCATCTATGAGATGGATTAGGGATTTATAATATGAACCTCCAATCATCTGCCAACCAAGAATGCTCTTCTGTACGCTAACAATCTCACTCATCTTATTATACACACACAGGCACACTTACATGCATACAGTTTCCATGGAAACAGGATCCAGGGCCTTTTATGACTGGTTGTTTGGCCTAGACAACCAAAATTGTTCTCAGCAGCTATATAAAGATGGGGGAGATAATTTATTTGTATACTAAATAATTGGGCTTGCAGTAATATGCAGTAGAAAGTGATAAGTTGTTTATTGCTGCCTGAAATACGGGAGAGAATTTTGATTAAGCCATTGTTGTTTTCACTAAGTGAATAATCTCATTTTCCTCAGTGACTGTATCCATCCTCGCTCTTTTTGTCTATGTTGTCACACTGATTGTGTTGGTGTTTGCACATGCTTAGCGATGCCAGCAATGTGGGCACTCATCGTAATAGCCACACACACGGACACGTTCCAGCCGTGTTGCCCTTCAGTAGCCTAATGTGTGTCGGAGGTCCAGATGGTGTAGCTGTGGGAGGGCTGCTTCGTTTTGTTAGCCTTAGTGCTATCGGTGTTAGTTTCAACAATCCCAGCCTGGCAGAAGAAACTGTCAGCCAGTTACCCTTCTGAGGGACACTGGCAGGGTTACAGATTATAGTAATGTAGTCAAGGTAGCGGCACAAACTTTCTGTACTTCGTTTTAGCACGGCAAGAGGTCTGAACATATCTATTGATTAGCTGTGTCATTTCTTTGACTATTTCTTACAGCTACTGTTTTTCTGCTCTAACATCAGTTTTTTTTTATGTTCATGATGACAGGAACTAAGCTAAATAAGGACCTGAAGCACTATCTAACCCAGCGCTTCCAGAAGTCGTCAGCTGACCACGAGCTGCAACAGACCATTCGAGAAAACCTGTACCATCACGCAGTGCCTTGTAAGTTCCCGCTTATTATTTACAGAGCTGTGTCATCACTTTGTTATGCTGTTCCTTTCATGACGTTATGCTCTGTCTATATACATTATATGAATTATTAACACACACAGAGGTATAAAGATTAGCGTAAATGTTGTTTGCATCAAGATCAAAAGCCAAAAGGGTTTCGGGTTGTTCAATCAAAGTCATTGTCTCTGCTCGGAGCATGATTTGTATTAGATCAGTGCAATGCGTAGTTCCCACACAGACTCTTGACAGCTCATCTAATTAAGGCTGATTGTTTCAGTCTGAGCGGAGCACAGCTACATTTGCCTTTAGACCAATATTGACCATGCGGTTAGCCAAGCTAAGCCACATTCACCCTGGGACAAACCTCACAGTATAGCTGTTATCAGTTTTATCACAATACAAACCTTCTTTTTCCCCTAAAGACCAGCCATCTTTCAAAGAGTTTATTCAGTCAATCATGCTGCACCCTCCACCCATTTTGTCTGCATTCTGCATGCTGTGCTGTTTAATCGGTAAAACAAAGTGTCTGGTAATTTTTCCGCAAACCTGTTACTATACGTCACATTCACTGACTAGAGAAAACCATTTAGTCTGTACCATCAACCAGATTTTTTCCACAAGATATTCAGGAGTTAAATGCATCAGCCTATTTTCAGTTTTACAGTTCATGGCAAAGATACAGACAGATTTTTCTATGTTTCATATTTGTCTAGTAGCTACTGAAAAGGTGAGTACGGGAGTAACAGAGAAACGGAGACAATTATTTTCTAAACACAACGTCCCAGTGGCGTCCCCAAAATACATTACGGCAAAGACTGGTTCATCCCAAAGATCCAGTCCCCCGGCACAAACAGAGTAATATTGTGTATGCTGTTCAGTGTCAGGAGGGTGATCAGTCTTACATCGGGGAAACTAAACAGCCACTGGCCAAAAGGATGGCCCAGCACAAAAGATCAACATCATTAGGCCAGGACTCTTTGGTCTACTCTCATCTCCAGGCCAGCGGTCACTCTTTCAGGGATGAAGATGTTCACATCCTGGATAGAGAGGAACGATGGTTTGAGAGAGGAGTAAAGGAGGCCATCTTTGTGAAAAGAAATCATCCATCATTAAACAGGGGTGGAGGCCTCCAGGTTCAACTGTCCCCCTCTTACAATGCTGTGATTGCTAGTATCACTCAGCATCCTGTGAATAGTAAACAGTGTGCTAATGATCCATCGTTAGGCTGATGGTCCTCCTTGATCATGTGAGCAGCTGGTTTTGGCTGTCGGCAGCAAACTGGTTGATCCACTCTGAGAAGGTGCTATTTATAAGACTGAGCTGAATACAGCACCTCAAACTGAAGAAGTGTTTCAGATGAGACGAAACATTTCTACTTTTTTTTTTTTTGAATGTCCAGAGGACCAGACTTAACTTTTTTAGATTTTTCTACCTGGATTATTGAGCATGCATTAGGATACTCAAAAGGTGGTCATTTTAACCTTTGCTCTGCCCTGTTAGTGTACAGACAGCAACAGTTAATGTCAAAACTTGGAGCATGCGTAACACTCAAAGTATGTGTCATAGATGACTCTCAGCTACTACAAACACCAAATTTTAGCTCAATATCTGTAGGATTAACTGAGCTCTAGCCATTTTTGTTTGCTAGCAATGATTAGCTGAGACAGCCCTCTTTGTACAGGTCAATTACAAGAGTAATAGTTCAATCATTCTTGAAGAGATGTTTACATTGTGGCAGTTTACATGAAAACTGCAGGGAATAATGTGTAACTAACTAAACACATTACATATTTCTGTACCAGATGGTCATCCATGGTGCTAATTATGTGTAAGTGTTGTGCTAGTTTTGAAAAGCTGCACAAATTACCAGACAGAGATTCACAATAATCTGTTGTTGGTGACGTTGGTTCACGTTTATTGTCATTCACATCACATGTGGTATATGAGATGGAATGAAATTATGTACTCAAAGTCCCAGTTACATCCAAAAAATAGCAAAAATATAAAGTATAAAAAAAACAGTATATAAGGATCTAAGATATATACTAAGATATATGCTAAACGAATGCCAAACAGTATGCTAAATGATCTACGATATACGCTAAACACTAATAATTTAAAACAATACAGTGTAACGACAGCAGCCGAACATGAGTCTGTGGTGAGCAGATGGGTATGAATGAATACAGCAGCATAAGATGATGCAGCAAGTATTACAATGATCTGTTCCTTTTAAATTTGTTTGTTTTATTGCATTGAATCATAAATGCCATAAACAGAACCCAAAATCCAAACGCAGAACTCGACCCCCCCACCCCCCCCCCCCCCCCCCCCAATTTTTCATTTTGTTTTATTAACTCATTGGTGGGCCGGACGTAAGTCACCGGCCCACGGCCGCCAGTTGAATAGCCCTGGTTTAAGGGCTATTCAACATAAATCCCCTTGAGAGAGATGCTCATATCTTAAATAGACTTTTAGTTTTATCACTCTTCACTTTCATTAATGTTTTCTTATACTGACTTCATAAATCTCTGAAACTTTTGTTCGATAGCAATTTTTACAAAACGATAATCGGAAAGATAAGTGCAAGTTCAGTTTGTGTCATCCAGTCAGTTTTGCCAGACATGTCCATTTGTAGGTAATTCTCTCAGAGAAATTTGCTACAAAGCACTAATCAAGTTAGAAACCCAGCACTCTCACCCGCCCCCCGATGTGGTCACCCCATCCATGAGTGCAGCATTCCCATTCTCCCATTATCCGAGCCAGCCTTCCAGTCCCTCTGTCCTGCTTTCATTCCAGCTCATGACACCACTGGTCTCACGTCCTCCTGCCGCCTCTGCAGCTCCCTCTTCCCCTCAGAATCAGTCTTTGTTTTCCTCCCTCTGTTTTCCTGCCAGTTGTAAGCAGTCGGAGTTGTAGAGGTAGGGAGTGGGAAAGGACTGCCCCATTTGTTTTCGACTTGTTTTTAAAGCTCATCGTTCACTGTCGGCACACCTTGAAAAGGGGGTTCCGTTCTCTCCTGCATCAAGGCAAGTAGCAGTATTGTTTACTGTCAGCTTGATGGTCGTGTCTGAACCAAACAAGGCTTGCAGAAGGCTGCGTTCACGTGCGCGTGTCGTGAATTTCAGGGCTAGCAGTGCAGACGATCAGACGACCTGCATATTATAAGCTAAGAGCGCGGCTGGGATAGAGGTGGGGGCTGAAGCCACAGGGATTGTGATCGTGATGGGGGTGGGGTGGGGTCTGGGGGTAGGAGGGGGGTAATGGAAGGGGGATGGGCAGTCAAACATTGAGAAAGGGATGGAAAGACGCAAAATGATAGAAAACATTTATTATAATAAAAGCTTAAACTAGCTAGCCAGTCAAGCTAATACAAAAAAAAAAAAAAAACTACACACAGGAACTCTAGTGAGCCTAGACTTGGTTTTGCTGTCTAATTGAGGATTCTTCTGTCTGTCTAGATTGTAAACAAAAGCTAGCATGCTAGTGCTGGTTCAGTGAGGTTATAGATTGCACCCTCCAATGCAATCACATTGTGACACCTGAACAAAACACATGCTTCACTATCAGAATGGCTGCTCCACTCCTGAACAGCAGAAAGAAAAGACAATTTATTTGTGGAACAGACTTGTAACATGTCGTCTGTTTGTCTGGCATTTGTCATCCAAAAGGTGTTGTTTTTGTCAGCACTTTTTCTTTGCATGGGAAGATGTTTCAGTAATGACTGGTCCGTCCTGTTAAACCAGTTCTAAGCTGATTTATACCATCAAACAGCCCAGTTTATGTTGCTTGTGTTGGACTCCACCAACCACCTGGAGTAAAACATAGTGTATAGAGAATAGTTGCAGAGTCTATCTCCATTTGTCATTTTTAGTGGCGTTACAACATTAAGAAAATCAGATCTGATTATCAGATTTGTCCAATTACATGTTTAATAAAAATGCAAGATGTAGCCTGCATTTTCTTCCCAAATAAAGGAACAGTGTGCCATCTTAGAAAATAATAATATATCATTATTGTCTTTGGTGCTGTGAGACCAAAGTGTGAGAGACTGTAAACCTAACACAAAGATGCTTAAACTGATGTCACAATAACTGCTGTGCAAAGAGCTCTTGTATTATTTCCACTGGACCAGTTACTCCAGATTTTTTTTAATTCTGGTAACGTCTTGCAGTAGGTTAGTTTCTGCTGAAATGTGTTTGTTTAAAACTAAAGCAGACATGGCAATATTGTGTAGTTTTCCAACAATTTTCAGTCAGGTCATCTGGACAGTTTTTTTTTTTTTCCTGAAACGTTTCACCTTCCACCTGGAAGGCTTCATCAGTCAAGGAAACACACAACACATGACATGACTGTCGACGAGGAAGAGGGTCAGCTCCAGAGGAGAGGGCGTGCCAAAGTCACCACCTTAGCACCAACATAACTGGTTTGTTCCACTTTGGAGTAAGCTGTTGGGGGAAGAATGTTATATTTCGTATAGGCTTCGCCCTTTAAGGCTATCGCCAGTGGGTTTATCCCTTCACGCGCAACGCAGCACTGAAAACTTTAGTCCACGCCCACCTGCTGTGTGGGCCTCACCCCCGGTCTGTATAAATTATGGTGAGACCGGGTAATTGGCTCCCATTTTTTCTTCAGACAGCTAGCTAGCACTGTCAGAAGAACGAATAAGGAAAAGATGTCCAGCTTTGACCAGCACAACTTTTGCTAAGGATGCCTGGGTCTCCGCCACACCAACGTCCTGCCATCCTGGTGAGCTCTTCCTCCCCGAGGAGAAGCAGAGACGAGCATACTTGTTCAAGGTAAGTGCCGAGGAGTGTTTTTCCGTGGCGGGCTGCTACCTGCTGGACGACGCCATCGTATTTTCTAACGTTTTTTCCTCGCGGTGAATCGGATGATTCCCTCGAAATGGCGATGTTAGTAGCAGCTCCGCTGAGTGTTTTTTTCCGTAGAATGCCGATACTCGCTGGAAGATGCCACCGCCTTTTCTAACA